GTGCCCACGTTTAGGCTGAGGCAAGTGGGCAAGTGGTGACGCAAGTGGTGGAGTCTGCCCGTGCTGAGTCAGCAGTCCCAGTCCTAGGCAGTCCTGGTCCAGTCCAGCAAGTACCGCATGGGACTTGTGTGCACTTCGGGCATGGGAAAGGGCCAGACCAACGCACCGCAGAAGTATAAATCAAGAGGCAGCGCCCAGCCATTCATTCATTCCTGCGTGAGCCATGCGGAAGCGCTGTCACAGCGACTTGTGCAAGGTGGTCTGCAATGAGCCCGAAGACGAAGTGGGCAGAGAGACGAAGCTTAGCCATAGCGATAGGGTAGCGGCGGCCATAGCCGCCATAGCTGTAGTTGGGGTTCAGTGTGTGTGTATGTGAGTGTTCAGAGAGTTGTGTGTGGGATATCCACGGTGATCCACTGTATGCAAACAGAGAGTTGTATGGGCGCTATGTCGCCATAGCCATTGGAAGTGAACTCGTATCTGGGTTGCCATATCTCTGAGTACTGAGTGGGCGCATGTCGCCAGTTTGCTGCGCTACTGTTTGCATGCATGTACAGTGTGAACGAAAGCAAGTCTGATTGCATTGGTATCGGAGCTGGTACCCATTATTCCACGCGCTGCGTTGTGCGTAGAAGGGAGAGAGATGCGCCATAGCAAAGTGGTCGACGAAGAAGAAGTCCGCCATAGCGGACACCGAGGTTGAAGGAGCCGCCGCGCGCACCTGCAGACAAGACCACAACGAAGAAGAAGACCGAGAGAGAGAGAGAGAGAGAGAGAGAGAGAGAGAGAGAGAGAGATGAGCGATACAAGTTTGGTTGTCACTTACCTATGAAGTGTGCCGTGCAGCCCAACAAAGTGAGAGGCGGCCCTAGCCGCGGAGCTTGACCACGGAGTAGCAAGAGGGAGAGAGAGAGGACGGAGGAGGAGACTGAGAAGGGAGAGAGAAGCCATAGCCGAGGAAGTGAAGGGAGAGACGATCAAAAAAAAAAAAAAAAGATAGCCGGGGTGAAGAGAAAGGAGGCGAGGAAGGAGAAAGGAAGGAGAAGCGTGGTGAGGAAGGAGAAGCCGGCAGCCATAGCTGATCGGAGGAGCTGACCGGGAGAGTTGACCAGGCGTTGACCGGGCGTTGACCGGGAGTTGACCGACGTTGACCAGAGTTGACCGGGGGTTGACTGCAGTGTTGACCGAGCATTGACCAAGGCGTTGACCACCACGATTTTGACCAAGCTGGAGCCGGTATAATCTCACCAAGCCTTCAGCCTACCCCTTGCCCTATGGATGTGCACACACCCTGTGGTACTTGGTGAGTCAAGTCTGTCTGTCTCTTCTTTCTGCATCGAGTCTCTTCTGTCCAGGTGTAAGAACTCTGTGGATAAAGGATAGGGCCTCGTTGACCAAACCCCTGCCGGACTAAGTAGGGCTAAAGACTGTGTCTGACCACTCGACTGTCCCAGAGGACACGAACACTCCCAAGGACCGAGGCCGAGCAGGCCCGGATTGCCGCCCTTTTGAGAGAAAAGAGAGAAAAGAAGGAGCTCTTGAAGCAGGCGAAAGCTAAAAGCAATTGAGGAGGAGGAGGAGGCACAGAAGAAACGATTGTTGGAGGAGATGATGCGAATTCAAAGGGAGAAGTTGATGTTGATAGAGAGAGAGGAGGAGGAAAGGAGGAAAACTGCAGAGGAAGAAGCAGCAAGAGAGGAGGAAGAAGAAAAAGAAGAACCCCTTAAGAGAAGACGTAGAGAGGAGAGAGGGGAACTCGGTGGCACAAAGGAGGATGACAGATGGAGGGAGAAGAAGATAAACGAATGGGTGGCTAATTTATTTTTGGGAGAAGATGAAGAGGCACAATTGTATGTGCCGCAAGAGGAGAAGGCGGCGTTTGCCAGGGCACTGGAGATGATAGAGGACCCCGTGGAACACCAGGAGACAGAAGATGAAAAGAAGTCGGAGTGGAAGCTGAAAATGATGAGGGAGAAGAAGAGAAGGAGGGAGGAAGCCAGTAGAATTGCCGGGGAGGTTGAGCATGTACGAACCGGCAAGCAAGAACTGCAGCCCCAAACAGAGGTCTTTGCCAAATTGGATAAGGTGATGGGCTTCCTATAAATTCTGAGCGAGGCCTGGCTAGAAGAGCACCAGGCCCGTAAGGGCCAAGACGTGGTGGGCCACGCCGGGGCTGAGATTAGAAGACTGAGGGATGGCGTAGACAAGTTTTGTGTTGGCGCCATCGAGACCGCCAAAGTTGTGGCCACGGCTTGTCCCCGCAAAGAGCCCGTTAAGCTAAAGTTCCCTGACCCATATAGCGGGAAGGAGGAGGAAAACTTCGATAACTGGGAGGTCAGCATAAACACCTATGTCTTTTTACAACATATTGCCCCCCAGGAGCAAGTCCTCGTCGCCTTCCACTTGTTGAAAGACGAAGCAGCCATCTTTGCGAGGTCTCTTGCACGTGCCGCGGACTGCGAGCACAATATGATTGCGTACTCTAGACTTACACCCCTCACTACTTTCCTCAAACTCCTGCACGAGAGGTTTGCTGACATCACTAGAGGCGTCAGAGCCTCCGACAAGCTTCAAACCATCCATTCGCGACAGTGGAGGAGTGCGAGAGCACTCAAAGCTGTCATGGACGACTTGGTAGCCGTCCCGGACCACGGGGCCACTAAGACCCAGTTGGTTCAGCTGTTTTATCGTGCCATGCCAGAGCCCTTACGAGGGCACTTCTTTGACAAACGTCAACAGCCCACTATGACGTACGATGTGCTGAGTCGAGAGGTGGTGTTGTACAAGGCGCGGTCCATGCCAGTTACCACTTTCTGGCATAAGGACCTAGACAAGGGAAAGAAGTGGAAAGGGCGTACCATCTCAGGTCAGGTTAGGGCCAAGGATCATATGATCTTGACATTGGAAGAAGGTGGTACTGACGAGGTCCCATACAGTCAAATTGAGTGGGGCCTCGAGGAGGAGGACAGTAGCGTGGGGCAGCGGAGGTCCTATGCTGCTGTCGCGACTGGAGGGAGGCCGCAAGGAAGAGGAGGAGGCCAGGGCCAAAGGGGCCAGGCCATGCGAGGCCGAGGATCGGGCGCACAGGGGGTTGGCGGTCAAGGGAACCGTCAAGTGGGAGGTAGGGGTCAAGGTCCCCCGCCAAATCGTCAAGGTCCCAGTCGGTCCCCACAGAGACGAGGTGGCAGATCACCTCAACGGTCAGGAGGTTGGCACCCAGGTTGGCCACAAGGCTGGCCCTGGGAGGATATGGGCCTGGACCAGAATGTATGGCAATAGTGGATGGAGCAGGGGCAGTGCATTTACTGTGGTGACCCTGCCCATATCATAAAATATTGTCCCAAGTATAGACAGGCCCGTTGGGCTGCCCAGGAGTCAAAAGGCAGCCGCCGGTAGGGGTCGCAACTGCCCCTACTATTAGGCCATGTGGGGAAGCGAGCGCGCGGGTAGAGGAAACTCCCACACCACATGAGCTTTCGGCAGAGGTTGCAGGCCCATGTCTAGTTAGCTATCCAGAGATTGTTTGTGTTAGTGTCTCTCTAGGCACGTCCCTCACAAGCGTGGCAGAAGAATTGAAGGAGAGGATGCCTGTCTGGGCCAAGATGAAGAAAGATAGCAAAGGGCAGCTAGTGTTAGTCAATGTAGAAGTTTTCAGGAGTAGAGTAGGGGCCCTTATAGACTCACGGGCCACCCGTAGTTATGTTAGCCGTAAAGCGCTAAAATAGCTGAGGCTAGGATTAAAAGTCCAAAAGTTAGCGGACCCCATAGTTAGTGTCCTCGCAGACAACCGCACGATGCATGTTGAGGACTACGTAGAGGGAGTCCAGGCGTACTTTCGCCTAGAGAAAGATGGGAAGGTGGAGAAAGTTCTCCATTCCCTGACTCTCCTCGTTCAGGATGACCTTCCTTTTGACATAGTCCTAGGTATGGACTGGGGAGAGGCAGCAGGGGCCACACTCCACTTAAGAGAGCATGAGTGCAGGCTCCCTAGTCCGTCAGGCGAGGTTAAGACAGCCCGTTTGTTCCATGTGTCAGGAGTAGACAACTCGCTGGCACATTGTTGTCTTAGTGCTCCCGTGTTCGCGCGATTAGTGAAAAAGGAGCAGTTAGAGGATCAGGTCTTTGTAGTGTATGTTAGACTTGTCACTGAGCCTAAGGAAGACGTTAGTTCCACGGATCCAGCCATTGCCAAGCTGCTGGAAGAGTTTAAAGACTTATCTGAGCCGCCGACAGGAGTAGTGTCGTGGCCGATCCAGCACAGGATAGAGATAGAGCCTGGCAGTAGGACTCCTAAGGGAGCAGTCTAGAGGATGTCCTCTAGAGAGTTAAAGGAGTTGCGCAAGCAGTTGGACGAGCTCCTTGAGAAGGGTTGGATTAGGCCTAGTTCGTCTTATTTTGGAGCACCTGTTTTGTTTGTCCCCAAGAAGGAAGGAGAGTTGCGCATGTGTATAGATTATAGGGGTCCCAATGTTATCACAGTCAAGAATGTTGAACCACTGCCCAGGATAGACGATCTCTTAGATCGGGTGCAGGGTTGTAAGTATTTCTCCAAGATAGATTTGAAGTCCGGTTACCATCAGATAGAAGTCCATCCTGATGACCCGTACAAGACTGCGTTCCGGACTCGTTATGGGCCTTATGAGTTTATAGTGATGCCCTTTAGACTGACCAATGCGCCAGCCACATTTCAGCGATGTATGAATGACATGTTTAGGCCTTGGTTAGACAAATTTGTCGTAGTATATCTGGACGACATTCTAGTATTCAGTAGGACCCTCCAAGAGCACCAGGGTCATTTGAGGCAGGTCTTGGAGAAGTTGAGGGAAGCTAACTTCAAGATCAACACAAAGAAGTGAGAGTGGGCCAAGACACAAGTTTTGTACTTGGGCCACTTATTAGACGGAGATGGAATCAAGCCTCAGGACAGTAAGATAGCGACAATTAGAGACTGGCCAACGCCCCGCACATTGACAGAGTTGCGGTCGTTTCTGGGCTTAGCCAATTATTACAGGAAGTTTGTGAGGAACTTCTCTACTGTCGCCGCTCCCTTGCGCAGGTTGCTCAAGAAAGAAGCAATCTGGCAATGGGATAAAGATTGTACGTCTGCGCTGAAGAAATTAAAGTGCTCATTGATAGAGTATCTTGTCCTCAAGGTAGCAGATCCGTCTTTGCCATTTGTCGTCACCACGGACGCGAGTCAGTATGGCATAGGTGCCGTGTTGCAGCAGGACGACGGCAATGGCTACAGACCCGTATAGTTTATGTCAGCGAGGATGCCCTCAGAGAAGGTTGCTACCTCGACGTAAGAGAGAGAACTCTACGCTCTCAGGCAGGCTTTAGAGCACTGGAAGCATTACCTGCTTGGGAGGCACTTCAAAGTGTATTCAGACCACGAGATGCTTAGATGGTTGAAGACCCAGGCCAAGATGATACCTAAGTTGACTAAGTGGGTCGCTGAGATAGACCAGTATGACTTTGAGCTCAAGCCAGTGAAGGGCAAGTATAATGTAGTTGCGGATGCTCTGAGTAGAAGATCAAACTACTTTGGAGCTATAGTTCACTATCGGGACATAGGGAGTGACCTGCAAGAAAAAGTTAGGCAAGCGTATGCACATGACCCTATCTACAGTGACCTCCTCAAAAGAGTCAAGGAGGCCCCAGAGATTGAGCCAGATTACCGCACTATAGGGGGATTATTATTTGAGAAGACTAACGTAGTAGACCGCCTACGCGTTCCCAACAGTGAGGAGAACCGCCGTCTGATCCTAGGGGAATGCCATGATACAGAGGAACACTTCGGTTGGCAAAAGACCTTAGCCAATCTTATACACGCATACACATGGCCAGGGATGAAAAACGACTGCATTGAGTATATCCGCGGTTGTAAAGTCTGTCAGAGGAACAAGACTACTACGCGTGCCCCTCTGGGTCTTCTCAGACCCTTGCCCATTCCAGACCAGCCTGGAGATTCAATCTCCATTGACTTTATGGATGCTAGTGTCAAGAGTAGGCACAGCAAGAGCCAAGTCATGGTCATAGACGACAGATTCAGCAAGTATGCTATTTTTGTCCCCTTGCCTGGAGAGGCACACACAGAGTTAGTGATACAGAAGTTCTTTGATTGTTGGGTTAGTGAGCATGAAGTCCTGTTGTCGATTGTTAGCGATAGAGATACCCGCTTCACCAGCTAGAACTGGCAGGAATTGATGAAACTCTATGGGTCCAAGTTGTTGATGTCGTCTGGCCGCCATCCAGAGACTAACTGTCAGACCGAGCAGATGAACAAGATCCTGCAGCAAGTTTTGCGCATGGTTCTGCGCATGTACATTAGACCCGATCAGATCAGCTAGGACGAGATGTTACCCAAGGTAGCCAGTGCATACAATAGCAGCGTGCATTTGTCCACCAGTCGCACTCCCAACAAATTGCACAAGTCCTTTAGACCACATAGGCCGTTTGAGGGGCTTAACCGGGATCAGATTCATAAGCTACCGCCCGGTACCAAGGAGTTCGCGATACAGCATGAGAAAGAGATAGCAATTGTTGTTGAAAACCTCAGAAAGGCCCAACACCGGATGATAGAGCAGGATAATAAGCACCGTCGCCCATCACAGTTTCAGGTAGGCGACCTGGTCTGGGTCAAGTCTAAAGAGTTTGCACCCGAGGAAAACATCTCGCAGAAGTTACTGCCCGCATATAGAGGACCGTGGCCAGTTCTAGAAGTAAAGGGCGGAGAGGATGGACTGTCCTACACAATAGAGATACCAGCACACCTCCACACCTACCCCGTGTTTCACGCATCAAAGTTGTTGTCGTGTGTCACAAGTCAACAGTTTCTATCTAGACGGTCCATGATCCCTCCAGACATGGACGGAAGGTATGCCATTGACGGCATTGTACGTGAAGATGTGTTCAGAACAGGAGGTAGAGGTCGTCCACGGAAACAGTATAAGGTCCGGTTCCCCTATCAGGAGTCGGAGGATGACCGCTGGTTCACCAAAGCAGAACTTCTAGAAACAACTCCCGATATAGTTAGAGCCTACGAAAGAGATCAGAGAGGCAAAGGTCCTGCCTTGGACTAAGTTATTCTCGGAGGACCTCGAATTTAGGCCGGCGGGAGTGAAACGGTATTCACCAGTCGCAGTAGCTGATGCAGATCCTAGGGCTTGATCCCTAGTCCCCACCTTACCTGTGTACACTATTTGTGTCGACCCCTAGAGTTGAACTCGTGACCTGTGTATTGGCAACAGTTGGTAAGTCGTCGTAGGGTCTAGAGGTCGCAGTGGTTCGAGCTTTAGACCTGTCGAGTAGGAGTCTTAGCTAGGTCCACAAGTCGTAGCTGTAGCTTTCTCGAAGAGTCAAGGTCGTAGCTGCTACAATCCAGAAGGGTCAAGGTCGTAGCTGCTACAGTACCGAAAGGCCAAGTCTACGGCCTTCCGGAATATCCGAGTAGTGGCCTTTYGGAGTGCCCACGTTTAGGCTGAGGCAAGTGGGCAAGTGGTGACGCAAGTGGTGGAGTCTGCCCGTGCTGAGTCAGCAGTCCCAGTCCTAGGCAGTCCTAGGCAGTCCTGGTCCAGTCCAGCAAGTACCGCATGGGACTGTGGGCACTTCGGGCATGGGAAAGGGCTAGACCAACGCACCGCAGAAGTATAAATCAAGAGGCAGCGCCCAGCCATTCA